TACATGTTGTAACAACTTGTCCTCTTTGAAGTATTTTGCACAAACCCGAGATTTCGGGTCGATTGGCCAAATGGGCCATAGAAATCGGCAGGTACGATATTAAGTATCGACCCCGAATCGCTATCAAATCTCAAATCTTGGCGGACTTCGTGGCCGACTTTACGCCGGCCTTCGTACCCGAGATTGAAAAAGAACTACTGATAAAATCGGGTACCTATCTAGGAGAATGGACCCTCTTTACGGACAGAGCCTCGAACGCAAAGGGGTCCGGACTAGGCATCGTACTAAAATCACCCACAGGTAATGTAGTTAGACAGTCTATCATAACTACAAAATTGACTAACAAGGAGGCCGAGTATGAGGCCATGATTGCAGGTCTCGAACTAGCTAGAAGCTTGGGAGCGGAGGTCGTAGAGGCTAAGTGTGATTCCCTCCTCATGGTAAACTAAGTTAACGAGATTTTTGAAGTCCGAGAAGATCGAATGCAGAGGTACTTGGATAAATTACAGGTGACTCTATATCGATTTAAGGAATGGACTTTGCAACATGTACCCCGAGAACAGAACAGCGAGGTCGACGCCCTTGCAAACTTAGGTTCATCGGTCGAAGATGACGAAATCAACTCGGGGACTGTCGTACAACTCATAAGATTGGTGATCGAAGAAGGTCACGTCGAGATAAACTCCACGAGTCAAACCTGGATTGGAGAAACAAATATATAGAGTACTTCAAGAACGAGAAGCTTCCATCAGGTCTAAAGGAATCGAGTGCTCTGCGCATAAAGGCAGCACGGTTCACCCTGTCCAAAGACGGAACGCTGTTTAGAAGGACGTTCGATGGACCATTGGCAATATGTTTGGGATCAGGAGATACCGATTACATCCTACGGGAAATTCACGAAGGCACTTATGGAAACCATTCCGGTGCCAATTCGCTGGTCCACAAAGTAATCAGAGACCCAGATAGAGGTCGAGCAAATCGAGACCGATCGAGACCGAGATCGAGCCCACATAGAGGTCGGGCGAATAAAGGCCGATCACGATCGAGAGCGGCCGAGTTCGTGCTCGAGCCAAGGGACAAAAGAGCCGTTATAATCGCACTTGGGGAAAGAATCTCGGCGAAAATCAAGGAAAAGTCAATTAATTAATCTATCATGGGATCCCACTATATATTTTTAATTATATCCAAAGTAAAATTCCTCCACTATATATGAATTATTCACAGATTCATTCATATATTCATACACTCTCATATTCAAACATTATTGAGATTTACATAGTATCTAGCAAATATTATCCTTTTTGGGGCTTTTGATATTGATTTATCTTGTTAATTTATAAATCATTCTCTACTCAATTTGGGTTTGTATTCATTCCTTTTTACAGTCAATATTCGATATATACAGTCATTCTCTACTTTTTTTTCCGATTTGTACCAAGTTATACCACGTATCCTTAGAACTACGTATAAATTCAACTCTATCCGCTTTTCGGGTAAATACATATCAAATCACGCCATCTATAAAATTTCCATATGTTCCAAGTGAGAAAGAGAAGAGAAGCATCCTCTTCGACTATTTATGGAATAAAAAGAAAATTTAAGCAAAAAATATATATTTATTATTGTTAGTTGGTTGGAAAAGATACTGAGCATCGTCTAAATAATAGTAGTAGATATTTTAAGTTGGGTGGATTCGCTAACAAAATAACTTCTTTATTTTTGGTTTTCCGCCCGATATTTGGTATCCGAATTGGGGCCCGACTATATTCAGGTTTGCGATAGGTAAAGCTCCATTCGGGGGAAGCGCTCCTACCAAGAATTTTTCCATACCCAGGGCTCGAACCCGAGACCCCTAATTAAAGGAGGAGCAACCTCATCCGCTGCACCACATCCTTTGGTGGTTACAAAATAACGTTTATGTGTGCGTTAGTAGAAATGGGAGAAGAAAGAACTACGAAAACAATTAGATTTCTTAGAATATCCCTGAACTAATAAAAATCGGTTTAAAAAGTCACTTTATTTTATTTTTTAGCTAAAAAGTCATTCAATTTTGCTCGTTGTGAGTAAAAAGCACTCTATGCTTTTAGGGCACATTACATTTGATATTTTTCTTTTCAATCTAACCATTAAAAACACCAATTTAGTATGTTTGCCTGATTTTAGGAAGATCTCAATTTCTACCTCTAGTTTTATTTTTGGTGAAATAAAGAGGGTTGCTGCTACTACCACAATCCCACCAAGATATGTATAGTTCACCACTTCATTTTCATACTACGTCTCCAATTAGTGTTTGAGTGATTGATACAATTCTTTTCCATTATTGATAATCCATTCCAAAAGGTGGAGCTGGCAAGCGAGGGCGAATTTAGTGGAAAGATTACGGGTTTACGTGAATTCAATATTTGTCAATACTATGTATTTATATTAAAAATTACTATTTGTATAAGAATATTTTGCTTTGAATCCAATTCATTTGTCCGTATATTATTGTATATTAACTTGAAATCGCATTAGAAGTCCATAAAGTTAAAATCATAAATCCGTACCGGCAAGCATGCCTTTCACTAATTTTAGAAGGTTACAGTTAATGGTTTTTCATTTCTTGCATTTTTGGCCCATTCGTTATATGATCAACGACATCACTATACAATTTTTGCCACTTTTAGATTTTTCACAAGCTTATCGTACTTTGTGGACAAGGAATTTGAGGGTCTTCATCCAGCTCAAAGGTGACAGCAAAAACATAAATCTCATTTTGTTCTTTCTTTCTCTTTTGTACTTTTAATTTCTAGCCGAAATAGACCTCACAATATATTAGGGCAAGTGCACAAATAACCATTCTCAAAGATGTTATTTAGAGATTAATTAGTATTTATTTTATCCTGAAATTTTAAATTAAATATCTTAACTTCAGGACGATTCAAGACATTTTTGTCTCAAAAAATTGAACTGTAAAATTAAAATTCAGGACGCACTGGCTAATTACTAAATAGCATCTCTTTAGATCGAGTCATTTCTACCAATATATTGGTATAAGTCTTGGACTGAGTTTTCCTTGCGACTTGTCTTTAATCTGCAGACTGCAAGTGGTGCCACATTGTCATATGAGCAAATGTGTGGATTCAGGATTTGAAGTTTATAATATGTATTGTGACCTCAATTTAATATATAATAATACTTGATTGTACTGTAAAATATTTATAACTTTTTAGTGAATTTCTTTATATATATATAAGCAAAAGCTATTGGATTTTTATTAACCTATATATTGTACTCTAAATTGGAGGATTTTGGTGCGGTTTTTTTGTTCGTGTTTTAGTTGATTGTTTCAAAATTTACATTTTCATACTAAATTCGCACATATTGCTACAAAGTAATGGTTAGTATACAAGTAATTTACGTTCATAAATTTTAATTCATGATCCGTCATATAGTCTGTGTAAGCGGTTGTGTAATTCAAGTTGCATAAGAAAATAAAATAATAAAGGAATTCGAACACAAAATTGGAGTTACTGGGCAAGCCCGAGTATTAAACGTGATGCTTATTTATGCAGTTGAACGTTTGAAGTGCAAGCCTCACAAAACAAAGTTTCACATGTGAGCCTCAAGTGTTAGTGGATCAAGCTGGACTATCAGCATTAGACCAAATTCTCCATCCAAAAAAATTGTGAAAATAATACGGGCTACCCATTTTTCGGATTGATAATTAAAAAATAACCAACATTTGCAAAGTCATTGAAAAATAGTCACTATTTTGCTTCAACACGAAAAGTTCTAGCATAATATACTGGAGATTGGAGCACATGTGTATAAATTTTTAATCCAGCATATTATGCTGAAACTCCAGCACACGAAAAGTTCCAGCATAATATACTGGAGATTGGAGGACATGTGTAAAAATTTCCAGTCCAACATATTATGCTGAAACTCCAGCACACGGAAAGTTCTAGCATAATATACTGGAGATTGGAACACCTGTATATGAACTTCTAGCATATTATGCTGGAACTCCAACATGTTATGAAATTCCAGCATAATATACTGGAGATTGGAGCACATGTGTATGAACTTCCAGTATATTATATTGGAACTCCAACACATTATGAAATTCCAGCATGTTATGCTGGAAGTTCACATGTAAAAAATTCGAACTCCAACATATTATGTTGGAATATTTTCCGAATTTTGAACAGTGTGTTTGTTCAGATTTATCTTTACATGAAAAGTGGCTAAATTTCGTTTACTTTTGAAATTGTGGCTATTTTTCAATTACTACTTGTAAATATGGGTATTTTTGAATTTCACCCCCAAAAAAGCCCTTGACAAGCTCTAATGACTTGGACTTAAGTTTGAAATTGACAGCAAAATCATGGGCCTATTCAGACTTGGTACCAATACTCGGCCCAAGCCCAAAACCCCCAAGAAATACCTCATCTAGTGGGTCCCACATGTTGATAGAAAACCACCAATGGAAAATAAATAGAACTATAAAACCGCCAAACAATTTCCACGTCCAACTAAGAGGTTGTGATTTCGAGTCACCCCAAGAGCAAGGTGAGGAGTTCTCGGAGGGAGTTAACCGATGGTCTATCGGAAACAGTCTCTCTACCCTAGGATAGGGGTAAGGTCTGCGTACAACCTACCTTCCCCAAACCTCATTAGTGAGATTATACTGGGGTGTTGTATAAAACCACCTACTACAGATCTTTTGTACATTCCGCAGCACAATTTGTACATGTCCTTTTCTGATAATAAGGTCAAATTTTCTTTTTCAGATTCCAACTGCCTAACGAATCTAATTCCCAATTTTACCCTCCATCTCTTAAGTCACACGTCCTCATCTAATGGCTATAAATTAAACACATAACAAAAAAACACTTATAAAAAAGTAAGGTCAAAGAAAACACTATAAAAAAGGTGACAGTTTTGCAAAATCCTGTGGATTCCTTCTCTTTAAAACTAAACCCCATATTCCACCTACAAAATTTTAGCTGACAATTTCAAGAAAACCATGGGCAGTTTTATTTAGCCAACACAAAACCAAGAAACCTCCCTTAGCTAAAACCAGCTGCTCAATTTTTGTATAAACCCCTCGAGCAAATCCATTCATAGTATATTCCACCCTCAAAAAAATCAACTAACCAACCCTCTCTTTCTTTCTTGCACTTTTAGCTAGCTTTTACTTCAAAGTTTTAAACTTTTGTTCAGTGCAAAAAGAAGTCTTGGTACATTGTGATGTTTACTTAACCTTCTCTCATTTTAGCCTTTTAATTCTTGGGTTTTGAGGTACTTTTGTTCTCTGTAATATTTCTTTATTTTTCCTTCTGGTTTTGGTCCCATCTATTTTTCTTGTTTGGCACATAGGATTAAAATGTGTACATTTGAATTGTGAAGTGATAGTTGTTTATCATAAGATTTTGCTTAGTGGGGTTTTCAAGATTTTGATTTTTTTAAAATTATTTTGATGGATTCTAGTAGTATATATTCAAATATAGGTCCTGGTATGTTAGGATTAGAAATGTCACTACACCATCAAGTCCCTCAACAAAATCCTCACCACATGCAACAACAACAACAACAACAACAATCTTTGAGACAAGGTTTGCCATTTGGTAACAAGGCTAAAAATCAAAGCTTGACATTTAGTGACGAGGATGATAACAACAGTGTTGAAGATGGGAAGAGGAGCAAAACTTGTCCTTGGCAAAGAATGAAGTGGACTGATAATATGGTAAGGTTATTAATTATGGTAGTTTATTATATTGGTGATGAAGTTGGTTCTGAATTAAATAATAATAATAATGATACTACTAATGGTAAGAAAAAAGGTGGTGGTAGTGTAGGGGTTTTGCAAAAAAAGGGAAAGTGGAAATCAGTTTCAAGAGCAATGATGGAGAGGGGATTTTATGTATCACCACAACAATGTGAAGATAAATTCAATGACTTGAATAAGAGGTATAAAAGGGTTAATGATATTCTTGGAAAAGGGACAGCTTGTAGAGTTGTGGAGAACCAAAATTTGCTTGAAACAATGGATCATTTAACACAAAAAATGAAAGAAGAAGTTAAGAAATTGTTGAATTCTAAGCACTTGTTTTTTAGGGAAATGTGTGCTTATCATAATAGTTGTGGTCATAATAACACTAGTACTGGCGGTGGTAGTGATATTGGAAATGTTCAACTTTCGACGGAAATGGCTGTTGAGGCTAATTCTCAAGCTCNCTAGTACTGGTGGTAGCGGTGGTAGTGGAAATGTTCAACTTTCAACAGAAGTGGCTGTTGAGGCTAATTCTCAAGCTCAGAAGAGGTGCTTACATTCGTCGGAAAATGCAAGAATTGGGGTTCATTTAGAAGAAGGGCCTAAAATGGCTAAAGGGAAAAGTGTAGACGATGATCAAGAAGACGATGAGGAGGACGAGGATGAAGATGAGGAGGAGGACGACGATGATGAGGTGAGTGGTGCGAGAGGAGGACATGACCACCATCATAACCATAGCCACGAGGACGACGATGACATGGACGAAAGATCAAGAAAGAGTCAACGAAAGTCGGGTTCTTTATCGCCAATGGTACAACAATTGAGTACTGAATTAGCTAATGTAATTCAAGATGGAGGGAGGAGTTCAGTTGAGAAGAGACAATGGTTGAAAACTAGAATGGTACAATTGAAGGAACAACATGTTAGCTATTTATGTCAAGCGTTTGAGCTGCAAAAGCAAAGGTTGAAATGGGAAAAATTTACAAGTAAGAAGGAAAGGGAAATGGAAAAGGAGAAGCTTATAAATGAGAGGAAAAAAATGGAGAATGAAAGAATGGTGCTTCTCCTTAGGCAAAAAGAGCTTGAGCTTCTTGATTTTCATCAGCATCAGAATCATAATAATAGAAATAGTGACCCTTCTTCTGTAACAGGATGAAAAATTGAAACAATACTAGTAGCAGCAGACAGATTAGATAACAATGTGTAGATAATCATATGCTTTTACCTTGTATTTTTTCCAAATTTTAGTCTTGAATCAAGTTTTTGATGTAAAATCTAAGTTTGAAGAAAACTTGCATCTAGCTTCTATATAGTCTTAAATTATCAAGTTCCTAGTACTCCTTAACTTGTCTGTTCTGTTTTTACTTTAATCTATGTGAATCGAAATTTTTGTTTTCTTCGAATTGTATGTAGCCCGGTGCATACAACTACTACATTATAATTTATCACCAATCACCAAATAAAGATAAGTGAAGATTGTATTAGTCATCAAATCAAGGTAATGAACAATTAACTAGAATGTATTTTTTTTAATTGAGAAATTTTAAAAAGAAAGCACGCCCAGTGGGACTCGAACCCACAATCGCTTGATTAGAAGTCAAGCGCCTTATCCATTAGGCCATGGGCGCTTCTTGTGGAAATCTCATTGTTTTGTATATATATAACTGTGTATAAAACTTATTGATTCATTAAACTATTCGAGCAAGGTGAGATCTACAGTATAAATTATCATTGTCCATGTTTCATTTAAGTTCTCTCACTCAAATATTTTTAAATTTTAGTTTCTCTATATTAGAAATTGAAAATTCCACCAATGCTATATAAGCTAACAATGCTAACAGAAAAAGAAGAAAACCAGAGTTCCAAATCTAAAATAATGATTGTCCTTCTTTTGAATGAAAGGAATAATAACATATTGCACTTATTTTTTTTGCTTCAGAAGACATATTTTATATGTTAACTAGCTGATATAAAATGTGACCCTTCTTCTCAGTTCCTAGTTTGAAGGATCATTAACTGTAGCACATAGTATTTTTGTTACTGAAACAACGTAAATGGTTAGTAGGTAGCCGAGTGTATCTCTGTTTCATGAACATTCCTGTAGTGTTTACTACTATCCTAGTACTTTGTTATACCTAGAACTTTAGTACCACCTGTAGATTTTTTTTTTTTTTTAGCTTCGGTTCCTTATCATCTGATGTTATAGATACTTATTGTTAATGCTTACTTTTTCATCTCTCCACCTTCACCAGTAAGTTTTGCGTTCACACTACCCTCCTCAGACCCTACTTGTGGGATTATACTGGGTTTGTTTTTGTTGTCGAAGCGACGTGAATGAAAACATACTTGCAAAAACTTTATTACTAATATCTCAACTTTAATCAAGTTTCTTCAGGAGAATAAGCTCCAAATAGAACATGAACATCTCCATAACACAGGGGAGGGCAAATGAACAAGACTCCTATACCTGATATTAGAAAAGAAGCACCAAAATAATTTTGATGTTTTCAACTACTGCAAGTTCTGTCGAAAAGAATTGCCCAGCATACAACTATAAGGAGGATAATTAAGCCTAACGCATTAATCTTCAAGCTCAATAATCTTAACCACTGATGCATCTCCAACTTTCTGGCAAATGACAACTCGATCGTGGGACTTTACAACTCCCGAAGCCTTCCCATGATCAAGAGCAACTTTCAGCACTGACTCATTTGATGCGTTTGTAGACTCGGCCTATGGAAAGAATAAGTAGCTCAGTTAGGCCCAGCGGAAATAAGAAACATGTTTCATGTTCATAATAATCATTGGAAAGTCCGAGCAACATAAATGCAAACAGAAAATATGGAGCACCAAGATGACGAGACTTACAGGATGTCGAGGATCAGCAAGCATTGGGAAAAGACCTCTAACAATAAGAGATTGCCTTGCCTGGGTATGGAGAAGTTGAAAAATACAAAAAACCGTCAGCTTCAATGTCATAAAAACAATACGGAAATTGCATATACTTGTTTGGCCAATAAGTATTTGCAAATAGTGAAATTCAGTAATTGAACTTCAAGTGAAATACTGAAACACTAGTGAATCATTGAACAATAAAAGTTGAACAATAATAAGTAATGAAGCAGAAATATATCAATTAAACAATGTTATGTGAGGAAAAGAATAGTCATTCTCAATCAAATGCATTGAAGATGTCTGAACACCATGAGCTGGATTTGATTCTTGAACAGACTTGATTATAAAGGGGATACCTCAAATGCACCGGTGAAACTCCACTTCAATTGATTTGTCTTGAGTCGAGGAATTACAACAGACAATACTGGCATTGTTGGCCTATATTTGGCTATCAATCTGTGCACATGAACATGACAATTTACAGCTCTTATAAAGAAATAGATAGTAGAAATTCTAAGAAATCTAGAAAGAACAGAGAGACTACCGTGCTGCCCTTCCAGATGAAGTGAAGCAAATAATTACTGATGCTTTCACCTTAATTGCAGCCCGCACCTAAAAAGAGGAAGTGATTAAAATTCCAGAAGTCTCTCCTCATTCCAAGAAAGGGAGTTGTGTTCAAAAGAATACCGCAGAGGAAGCAATTGATTCCAGGTGCGTCATGGGCTCCCCAACAAATTTGACTGTCTTCTTGAAATATAGATCTTGGTTAAAAACCTTCTCGGCCTGCACGGAATTTGATTGTTAATTAGGGCCACTGGTATTACTCTCCGAAACAGAAAACCAGAAAGTGGTAATTGCTACACTATGAGGGGGTGGGACTAAGTGTATCCCTCATCCCGAAAGGTGATGCTGAAGATATACTAATATGCCATAAATCTTTTACAAGTCAGGACCATACTGAGAAATGTCTTTTGATACATCAAAGCGTCAACGAACCAATTACTGATATCTTGACAGGAAAAAAGTGTTCAAATGGAAAATAGTGTAGAATGTTCTCTTAATTCAACACAAAGGATCAAGATAAAATGAAACTCACCTCGGCACAAATTCTTCCAACAGTAGAAATAGTCTCGATTGGGTATAATCCACGTAGAGTCTCAGCACCAAGAAGAATTGCATCAGTTCCTGCACAAATGTTGAATTGTCAAAAACTCTATCAGAAACAAACTAACAAGATGTTGCATAAAGGATGACAAAAGGACTCCAAATCTTCAGAGGTAATAAAGGCAAGATTACCATCCAAGACAGCATTAGCAACATCTGTTGCTTCAGCACGAGTTGGCCTAAGATTGTCAGTCATACTATCAACAACACGTGTTACTACAGCAGGCTTGCCAGCCATGTTACACTTGTGAACAGCAGCCTTCTGGAATAAGAACACCTGTATAACACTCAAAAATTAGCCAAATAAGAACCCTACAAGGAAATCTGCTTCTTGTTTGTCGTCATCCTCTACTCCATAACATTTTGCTACACACAAGAGATGGAACGGAATGTTTTACAAACTTTCCTGATCACTTACAAGAAATCTAACTTAATCATGCCTCTTCGGAAATTATTTCACAAAGGAATATTTTATTCTAATGAAGCCTGAGGTTGTCGTTAACAAAAGTTTCATATCCATCAGTGCAATGACTTCATCTTCTCATAGAAAAATTCCCAGAAATAAGATGGAATATCATTTGAAAGTTTTTCCTTAGTATTGCGGACTCCTGGTCAAGTACCGTTTGATGATTACCTCATGTACTCCTTATGCAATGAGTAGATTAGCTAAGTTCAATTCCATGATCATTACGCCTTGAGCATCTGATTCAAACCTTTTTAGTAAAATCCTTACTGCTAAATACTAGAGGTGAAACAACACATTTGAATTTCCCATCCTTTTTTTAGGTCTCATTTATTCAGGCATTCATCTTATCACATCTATTTATATCGAAAAGAAGACTCATAGGTTAAAATTTTTACCTCTGTTTACATGATACTGCAATCAAATGAACTCGTAATATTTAACCCCAACATGTATGAATTTTTTCTGAGATATTTATAATCAGATCATCCGTTCACAGTTCAAATTCCATGATGCCCATTATTTGGCAAATTTCACTTATGCAACAAGTATTAACACAGATACCAGTCCCGGTGTTTATGGCTAGTTGGCAGGCACATTTTCTATTTATACATTTATATGCTGCAAATGTCGACTGGAAAGTAAACTGCATCAAGAGGGCCACCGCTTATACACGATTTACAAAAGAAGATGCCTGAATTTTGCAGAAGATAACTTACCTTCTCTGGTGGGAGATCTATACCAAGGTTTCCACGCGAAAGGATGATGCCATCAGCCTCTTGGAGTATCTCATCAAAATGTGTCAACCCCTATGTGTATCACCCAATGAAGGAAGTGAATTGCAAGCATTGCAGATTTCATGATAATTCAACGACCAATCTCACAAAGAATTATCCAGACGAAAAAGAAAAAGATCAGACAGAAGATAATAGTTTAGCATCTAACCTCGACGCTTTCGATTTTGGCGAAGATCTGAGTTTGGCCTAGATCACCCAGCTTAGATAAGAATTCACGTGCCTGATTTAAGAAAAATATACCAATGAGGTTGATTTGGTATTCAAACTGTTGCGAACGTAAATAAATAATGTTGTCCTCTCTTCACAGCTTAGCGTTTAGATGAGGTGGTCACATAAATGAACATGCTATCAAAGCAGAAAGTTCATAAGTCAAAGATTCGAGCCTCACTACTAAGAAACAAAAATGTTTCCACATACTTGGCCAAAGAAAAGAATCAAACATATGTGTGGGCGTGTTACATACCTATACAACAAAATAAAAAGAAAAATACTCTCTATAGAACCTTAAGCTTTTAGACGAGGTTGTCATACAAATTCAACACAAACCATCATCAATGACACGATGATTGCGAATCATCAATGTGGTCTAAAGAATCCAAGAAAATTGAACAACAAAAGGAAATAGATATAAAACTGTGCAATCATTACCTCACGAACATCCTCAGCATGCCTGGTAAATGATAATGAAAGAAAATCAATTTTGTTTTGGGCACCCCATGTGCTAATAACCTGATTCAATTAACATACCAAAAACACCACGATCAATTTAAAAGGATCGCTGCAGAAAGCCATTAACAATGCAGAAAATAGAGAATTAAGTAGCTTGAGGGAGGGAATTCGGCATAACTCAAAGATAATATGCTTGCATTAACATTGAGGTAGTATAGTCAATAGCACATATACCGAAGATAAAGAGGAACCCCTAAAACTCTTTTCAAGTGTAACATAAGTTAAAATTTCTATTCCTAGAAAAAGGACATAATTTTGTCACAAGCAAGGTAGTCAATG